CCCATAACACATCCACAGTGATACAATCGTAACAGCTACTCCTGTATACGCATTGTTGTTTGAAGCAGTTACAAATGAAAGAGAAGAGAAACAAAAATCTCTTTTCACCATTGGATCGGAGACGCCATGTTCAAAACGTGCATGACGTCCGAAACATATGCTACAAGTAAAGTTCGAAAGAGGAAAAAAATTGGTGGCAATCAACTTTGGTTGATTTTGGTGGCAAAGTCCCCTCACCCTTACCAGTGATACCTAATATCAGCGGTTATTGAGGCCAGGACTTTATAAAACAATGGTAAACTGTCAAACCGGTAATCGGCCCATGCCGAAATGGGACTGTTCGATTTCAGTTTCATCCTCACGGGGCCAGCTAGCCGACCCTCGAAGACAACATTTTTCTGTCCTCTGTCCTTGGTTGATCTGAGCAAAACTTGTAACAGGTAATTTCAAAAAACATGTCTTTAGCCTCCTGCACACAGTAACGAGCGTCTCTCGTGAAATGTTGTTTGATAGATACATCAATGTTGATTTTGCTACAGATGATATATGTGCCACAGACGTGGTTTTTTTTTTTTTGTTTTTTTGGGTTTTTTTTGCATTTTTCAATACTATTGATGGTTTCTGTCAGTGTGACGTGCTACAGGGTGAATAAAGTCGGTGAAGTCCCCACTGAGGGTGCTGATACCAAATGCACGGCTTGCCACACACACAAACACACACACACACACACACACACACACACACACACACACACACACACACACACACACACACAATCAGAATGCGACCACTGTCAGCTTTACGAGAAGGGATATTAATCGGGTGCCGGGTTTTTATGGGGATGTACTGTACCAACATGTTCAACAACTGGTTGGACTCAAATGAAGCGCCTGTAATGAAGATGACCCCCGAGGTCACAAACAGGAGCGTCATCCAGATCATTCCGGACTCTCCTGCCCGCTGACAGGTGAGCAGTAAGTCGTGAAAAGTAAAGGGGACTCACCGTTCGCAGGAACTGGATCTCTTCCTCTCCCTCGCCCCCTTCCGCCATCCTTCGCCACGCGTTACTGGCACCACCTCCAGAGACAAGACAAGATCCTTTAGTTTGTTTTCTTCTGGCTTTGTTTTATCTCCTCTTCTCCCCACTTTCTCTCTCCCTCTGTTTCTGCCGGTGTCTCGCGGTGCGAGAGCGTGTGGGTGTGCTGGAGGACAGCACCCGTCCTGGTCGACTCACACAGTGCCGTGTGAGAGAGTGTGAGGGATGGAGGGAGAGCCCCCACCCCTTCATGGCACCCAACTTGCCATGCCACCATGTTTGTAGAAGGAGTGCCACTCCTTCACACTGACAGACACTCCTCCCTCCCTCCCCTCCTTCGTCATATCTGAGACTAAAAGTGGCAAGCAGCTGCTGTACATGTCCACAATCACATTCAGAAATTCATTTGAAAGGATTGAAAAATTTCCAACTTGACATTTTCTGGAAAATGTCACCATTCAAATTTGAAAAAACATTGTTTAACTTAAAACTGTCCAAAATCTGAGAAATGTCAGCCTTTCACTGGGAAATATTTTCCCATCTCTGTAGTCCTCTGTGAAAGCAGACTGATTATCTTTGTGTTTAATCAAAATAAAACATTTGCAAACGTCTGTTTTAACTTCGGCAAAAATGATCAACATTTTTGCCAATTTATTGACATGTTAGGCACCAAGCCAGTCACTGAATCCTAACAGATTTATATTTGTGCATTTTCTGCACTTCATCATTAATCCAGGAAATAATCAACAGAATATCCAATCATTAAAATAATACTTAGACTCCAAGCATAAATTAATATATTTTATCAGTATGAAGTAAACCCCATAAAACAAATTAATTGACACCCTCTCAACATTTTTACTGACCTATATTTGTAGTTTATATGTACATATATATAAAAATAAGACAAAATATAACATTACATTCTCACCTGACAATATTATCCTGAAAAATCAATGGCTTGCAGATAACTTAATTCAATAAATAATAATAATAATAACAATAATAATAAAGGTGATACTCCGCTCACAACCCAGGCTAAATTTAGCTCCTTCATCATACAAAAATATCTTAGAACAGCCAAGACATAAGAAAATAACCTTTATTTGTCCCACACTGGGGAAATTTGCATATCACTGAAACATACTTTGAGACCGCTACTTTCCAACTAACTAACTTTTGGCAGCAGCTTGTGGCATCTTAAGGGCATGACAAAAAAGCAAATAGATGCTGCAAACATTTTACAATAGGTTCCACAGTAAAACACACAAAGAGGTAAATTTGGGAACAGCAAACCGCAAATATTGTAGTCAATATTTGCTTTGTGTAATTTTTCAACTCTAAAAATATGGACCTTGGCTCAATAAAGGTTGGGAAACACTACAATATACAAAGCATTTGAGGAAGGTGGATCTGCATGAGTGTCATTTGCACAGTGATCATGCAGATGCACCACAAGGACGCGCGCGCGCGCGCGCACACACACACACACACACACACACACACACACACACACACACACACACACACACACACACACACACACACACACACACGGACACTGGGGTTCTTACCTGCTCGGTATCCATTTGGTATCAGTCATCCTCTGCTCCATCTCCCACTGCGGCAGGGAAGAGGCAAATTGGGCAAACGACTCTCTGGACGCAAACCCCGCCTGCCTCTATAGGTAGAACGGAGAGAAGCAATCACAGGGAGCCGGCTCGGGGATGTGACGCGCCACCGAAGACGATGGCCCGAGGTGAATTATGGGAACTGGAGTCCCCAGCGCAGCTCATCTCCCGCCCATGGAGTCATTTTTGCTCAAGCCATGACTTGACGTCTGCTTGTAGTGCAACTGCATTGTTGTGGCGGAGGGTGGCGACATTGTGTCAATATTTAACCTCAATGGAAGAACAAGAGGAACCGACGGCGTTCACGTTAAGATAACGTCGACGTATTCTTGCCCCGAGATAAGGCAAGGGTTGTCATTTCCTGGTTCTTGGGTCTTTTCCGGTCAATACCGGAAATGTCAGGTCTTAAGCCTCATCATAAAGAAGTCACTTGTAGATCTCCTCTGATCATGCATATAGGAGATCGAAAAAAATCAGACCCTACCAAAAAACAAGCTTTTTTTTTTTTTAAGACAGTACATAGGTGAAAGCTTAACTGTGCGCCTTAAAAGTTTGCAGGCATTATTTAAAAGGCTATGGGACAAAACGGCTCAGGTGAACTTTTGTGCCGTATAAATCAGCATGTATTGTATTGAATTGTATTGTATTGTGTGTCACTGGTCTACTGGACTTGGAAGGCTTAAACGTTGGTGTTAAAAAAATGCTGTTGAAAAGGATTGTAAACTTCCATTCATTCATCACAATTTCCCGACAGAAAAAGATCCAGACGGACGAAAAAGGTGGACTAAAATTGTACATTGCTTCAACACATTTATTCACATTCACATGTATTTGTCAGTATCTTGAAATAACACACAGAGGCTAAGTACGGTAAGCAAGCAACTGGACAGCGAAACTAATGAGACATGTCATGCGACCAGCCTGACAGAAAAACCAAATTATGTTAATGGTCATTTCTCAGGAGAAGGCAGTGCGTTAAGGAGTATCAAACCAAAAAGATTAAATTAAAGCAAAATTCCAGGATGTTGAAAGAGTCCAAATCACAGTTTTGTAGGCTGCTTCACAACAGTTATAAAGGAAAAGGTCATAGCCAACGAGAGTCCCTTACCCATAATGGATGGCACGACCCAGAGATTAGCACGTGGTTAATTAAAGGGCTGCTTCTGACTCTTAAAGCTCTGACGTCATGAAAACTGTATTAACTTATCCAGCATTGCACTGATATGCGTCATTTTTAAGTGCATTTACGGTATTACGACGGGGCGACGTTGTAGCCGAAAGAGTTGGAAGTCACTTTTGCAACCCTGGAAGAATAAGAGCCACGAATGACAGATTTGCTTTCCTACTGCAAATGTGTCAGACTATAGGTTTATGTACAACCATCTTCCGCATTTGGAGAAACAGGACGAAGGCCTTTCTTCCGGTTTAGGTCATAGAATTAAACAAAATCACCACCAAATCCCACTGTATAGAGAATATTCCATCCATCCATCCATCCATTTTCTGATCCGTTTATCCTCACAAGGGTCGCGTGGTGTGCTGGAGCCTATATCGAGAATAATCCGCAGTATAAATACCATTTAAAAAAATCCTGTTCAAGTGAAGTCGCAAAAAGTGAACCGTGATATAGCGAAGGACTACTACTGTTTTTAGAAACAAATCAGAATTTACTTCACAGTTGGCCTTTAAATACTCAATTTTCCCAAAGATCTCTCCACTTTAAAATGACTGCAGAATTGTCGCTTTGCAACAGTGTAAATGCCATTTCTTGTCCTCAGAGGCTCCTTCAATACACTCCAGCACCGTGAGATTTTGCATGCACGGACTGTAGGACGCCTGCCTTGCTCGCTCGGCTCTGCATTTTTGCCTGCTTCTCGATGCCACATGGCCCTCTGTGCCAAGCCAGTCAGCTTCCTGCGTAAAAAAGAGGCTACCTCTGCGCATTCGGGACGCATTAATGTCCCCTGTATGGTCGCCTCTTCCTCTTGGTGGCGTGTTCAAACAAGGCCGCCATTGAGCCGCCCTTGTCCAGCTGCACAAGTGCAAACACTATGTGCCCTGTGTGGTTGCTTGCCACCCTCAGACATAGAAGTGGGGGGAGAAGACAGAAGAAATTAGGATCGGCAACCTGATACGGGTATCGTAGAACAGGGGTTCTCAAAGTGAGGGCAGGGCTCTCATCCTGAGAACCCGGGGACCCGTGAGCAATAACTTGGTGGTGAGCAAAATCACACTGATCAAAAAAATTTTTTTTCATCAGGAATGCAAGTAAATATTGATGAATTTGACAGGTTTCTATGCCGATTCTGAATATGCCCTTATTTTGTCTGTAGCCAATCAGAATTTCATTAAAATAATGTAACTGCACTAATATTGATCCATCCATTTTCCGAGGGGTCGCCAGTGTGCCGGAGCCTACCCCAGTTGCCTTCGGGGTACACCCTGAACAGTTTGCCAACCAATCACAGGGCGCACACAGACAAACAACCATTGACACAATCACACCTCTGGACAATTAAGATAAAATAAGATAAGAAACCCTTTATTTGTCTCACAATGGAGAAATTCCCAATTTACAGCAGCAAAAATTATGAAAGGGAGAAGTAGAAGAACAAAAAGTATATTAGTAAATATAAATTATAAAATATAAATATAAGCATATTTAGAATGGGTGAGTGACGGTGAGTCATGGTTTTCAGGTCAGGTCTGTCTACTCAATAGCCTGACATGCATGTTTTGGGAATGTGGGAGGAATTTAGAGCACCCAGAGAAAACTCACGCAGGCACGGGAAGAACATGAAAACTCCACGCAGGAAGGCCAGAGCCTGGAATCGAACCCTGGACCTTCTCACTTGAGGCAGATGAGCAAACCAGTCAATAACCGTGCCACCTATAGCAATCTTCTTTTCCTTTTGGCTTTTCCCCTCAGGGGTCGCTACAGCGAATCAGTTGCCCCCCCATCTGTTTTGTGCGTCCTCTTCTCTCACCCCAGCTACCTTCATGTCCTCTTTCACTACATCCATAAACCTCCTCTTTGGTCTTCCTCTCGTCCTCCTGCCTGGCAGTTCGAGACTCAGCATCCATCTCCCAATATATTCACTCTCTCTCCTCTGGACATGTCCAAACCATCTCAGTCTGGCCTCTCTGACTTTCTCTCCAAAACCTCAAACAACCTGGTTACTCCTAAAGAGAACCTCAACATCTTCTTCTCTGCTACCTCCAGCTCTGCCTCCCGTCTTTTCTTCAGTGGCACTGTCTCCAGTCCAAACAGTATGGCTGGTCTGACCGCAGTTTTATACAGCTTGCCTATCATTTTAGCTGAAACTCTATCGTACGTCACACCTGATGCTTTTCTCCAGCCGTTCCAGCCTGCCTGTACATGCTTCTTCACCTCTTTTCCAGACTCTCCAGTTGACCCCCAAGTACTTAAAATCCTCCACCTCCTTTATTTCTTCTCCCTGTGACCTCACTCTTGTACTCGGCTCCCTCTCATTCACACACATGTACTCCGTCTTGCTGCAACTGACCTGCATTCCCCTCCTTTCCAGGGCAAACCTCCACCTCTATAGTTTCTCCTCCACCTGTTCCCTGCTCTCACGACAGATCACAATATCATCTGAAAACATCATAGTCCATGGAGATTCCTGTCTAATCTCGTCTATCAGCCTGTCCATCACCAAAGAGAATAAAAAGGGGCTCAGAGCTGACCCCTGGTGAAGACCCACTTCCACCTTGAATTCCTCCGTCATACCTACAGCACAGCTCACCACTGTCTTACAGTCATCATACATGTCTTGCACCGCTTTAACGTACTTCTCTGTCACCCCAGACTTCCTCATACAAAACCACGGTTCTTCTCTGGGCACCCTCATACGCTTTCTCCAGATCTACAAAGACACAATGCAGTTCACTCTGACCTTCTCTGTACTTCTCTATCAACATCCTTAAAGCAAATACTGCATCTGTCGTACTCTTTTTTGGCATGAAACCATACTGCTGCTCACTTCTGCTCTTAGTCTAGCTTCAACTACTCTTTCCCATAGTTTCATTATATATCATCAACTTTATTCCTCTGTAGTTACTACAACCCTGCGCATCTCCCTTGTTCTTAAAACTGGGCACCAGCACACTTCTCCTCCATTCCTCAGGCATCTTTGTGCCATCTATAGCAATAATATGTAATATAGTAATATATTTAATATTAATTAAAGGTTACTCTCAGCAACAGGTGGAATTGCATACGCGTTTATAGGTCAAACTTAGCTAAAAGAAAATATCTCCAAAATCTGATCTGCCAGAAAAAAAAGGAAAGACATTAAAACAACAATAACATAAAATAATCCAGTATTACTTCAAAAAATATGTCATGAGGATAAACCATGTGAACCCTTTGGAATTTCTTTCATTTTTCAGTAAACTGACCATCTAAATGACAATAATAAACAAAGAGAGGCTGCTTAAACTAATAGCACACAAACAATTGTTTTCGTGGTTGTGGATGCCGCCCTCCCCTTCAGGTGAAACTACTATATATATATGTGAATATATATGAATCCGTAAAAAAAATAAAGCCTGCGGACCGGCCAAAATGAAGCCCCCCCCCCCCTCCTCCCAACCCACGAATTGGAGCTGAAAATTACACGCATTGCAATGTCGACTTAATTTGGTTTCCCTGATGGCTACTTTAATCACATACCGTTATTTTTTTTCAGCCGCGTGATGACAAAAGTCACTTCAAACATTGTCTGTAGGGTAAATAAAAGTTACATGACGGCGACAGCTGGCCCATGGAAGCGGCTTCTTTCTATTTCTATTATTTCCTCTGGGAAGTGCCTTAAACAGCCCAGCAAATGTCGCTTCCTGAGCTATACTGACGATTGTTCATTACTCCCTCCCTCTCTGCCGGCCGGGCTGCCTGCCTGCCTACAGCTCTCCTCCTTCCTATACAAGCGCTGCATGTGTGCACCATTCTCTCTATGTAGCCTCCCCCCTCCCCCTTGTATATATACACACACGCACACGCACACACACACACACACACACACACACACACACACACACGCACACGCACACACAGAAACTGATGCAAGTTCCCTTATCTGCCAGAGCCAGTTCCTCCATTTAAGATGCTGACTTGTTTACGTAGACGCGACAAGTGATTTTTTTAAATTCATTTTTTTTCGCAGCTCCGTTTTCCCACACTGGTGCGAGGCCTTCTCTTCTTTCTCCATATGCCTTCCTTGATGGCAGGTGCATGACCTCTGGCTCAGCTGATTTGTGCTCACCGCACATGCTCGGAGAGGGGCTTGACTGACTTTCTGGGTGAGGGTGGGGAGGGGGGGGGGTCAGTTTTGTTGATGGCTGGAAGGTGAATACTTCGGAGAGGACAGAGAGAAGGAGGAAGAAGAAGGAGAGGAGGAGGAGGAGGAGGAGAAGGGGTCAAGCATGGAGCTATAGGGACGCCGTGCTCAGATGCCGGGCAGGAGGAGGACGAGGCCGCGGAGAGAAAGCAGCCGCAATGAACAAGACCAAGAGGTAGAACACAAACAAATAGTGTATTAAAATGTTGTGTGCCTGTGTGTGTGCTGCAGAGGTTTTGAGGTCATGACTCATATGGTGCATGGCAGTGTGGTTCTAAAAAGTGTTCATTTGTTTGGGGTTTTTTGTGTTTGCATCAGCCATTTTAGTGTTGCCGTGCAATAGTAGTTTCATCGGACAGGTTGCACACACACGCACACACGCACTTGACTCTCAAAACTGACCTGCGCAGTGTGAAGTCTAGGTGTGTTTGTTTGAATGGGAAGCTATTCTGTTGAATAGATGGGAACAGGTGCATATACCTGGTTCAATGTGCCTTCTAGTGGAATAATTGTTCTGCCTTATACAGCAAAAATCTGCATATAATTGACAAAAAAATAAAAAAAATAAATAAAAATGCTGATGAACTGCCAATATGAGTTTTCCATGAAAAAAGAAAAAAATAATTCCATTTAAAAAATGAAAAGCAAATGCAGCAAATCCAGGGTCCAACGAGATGGCATAAAACGACGAACAACCAACATTAAAATACAGTAGCATAGTAGGTCTAAGAATGGATGAAAAATAATACGATTCCAAGTCACTATCACATTGTGCACAGTTTGAACATTAACACGGCACCGGAATATTACAAATTTGTACTCAAAGTTGAAATACAACCGTACCATACTTGGGCAGTGATTCTTTCAAGTACCACAAGAGTGAACCCGAGTACCACATTTTGAGAATGGCTACTCTTAATTGTCCATAAATAGGATTGTAAATGCTAATCAAGATGAGCACTATGAAAACTGTATGGGATTTTTTTTCATGATTTATTTATTTCGGCTTTTGATGTTGTGACAGGAAACCTTTCTGTCCTGCTTCGGGACTTGTTTTGCTGCTACTGCGGTTGTGATCGCAGCTCTTATCAGGTGGCGCGATCGACTCGTCGCAATGATGTGTAACACCTCATTTTCAACCCTCATTGCGCAAGGAACCATGCAGTGTACTTTTCAATACCGTGGATGGATATTTTTGGCCGTTTTTATTTTGAATCCAACGTGCGCTGTAAAAATGTGCTCCGCTAAAATATTTCTTCTTACCTGGCAGTTTTTCTTTAAGAGCATTTCGCATACTTATAAGCATTTGTTTCCCTAGAAAAAAATCTAAATAAGCAATTCTAAGTTTTTGAGATGTCATTACTGACAATGAATAAGTTTATTTTACACGAAGCAGTACAATAATTCAACAGGTGTTGGCACGAAGATGCTAGTTTTAAGACATCAATGTTTTTAGGCAGACTTTTATGATCTCTCGGTAGATCATTTTGCTCAATTAAATAAATTATTATTACTTTTTCTTTCCAAGCGTAGTTTTTTTGCAGTACGACCGTTTGTGTATGAGGAAGAAGCATCAAGAGTCGATTTTATGAAATCGTTCATAAAAGACCGCGGCTGTATTTATGTGCTGGTAGTAGGTCATTTTTATGACACTTTCATTCAAAACAAAACCAAAAAAAAAACCCCTGGGCAGAACCCCAAACTTATCATTTTGACAATTTATCTGCAGTCATCTTGACCACGTCTAATTGCATCTGATGGAGTCTTAAAGCTTCAAAAATCAGTAACTTTCCTTTTGTTTACACCAGTCGCGTAAAACTAGCCAATATTTGACGTGGAAAAAAAATTTTTAATCTGCATTTGAAGTGAAAAAATAACAAATTAAATTTGCATTGGCAGCCTCACTTGAAACCCTTTTCTTCTACATGTTTACAATTCGTGTAGTTTGGTGTCATTTTCTCATAATTCCCAATGACCCCCACCCTGCATCTCTTCTCAAGAAAGCGACTTCATAAGGAGGCGCAAATTCCCCATTAAAAAATGCCACTGATGTACATGCCGTGCTATGACACAACAGAAAACCATTTCGTATAGCCTGTGCGGCCTCACACTATGGATTGAACACAACTTGTACAGCAACACATATAGACAGGCAATATAAGAGTACTCACTGTCATATATTCTTGATCCTCTGCAAATAACCACTCATATTATCACTGTAATGATGAGCTCACAGAGGAGTTGTGACGTCTCAATGAACAATCTCTCTTATAATGGCCCCATGGGGCGAAGTCAGACATACCAGAAGAAGCAGTAGCAGTCAAAAGATGCAACAGAGCACAACAGGTTTATTTATTTGTAATCTTATTGAATGATGTCATTGCTGTATGTTTTTATATTGGGACAATATTGTGGAGTCCTTTGAGTTTACTCGCTCACTCACTAATCGAGTCAATGTGTATTACATATTACATGCCAAATGTTTCCCCTAATATCCATCATCATTGGTTTTATGCACATTAAGTGTGATGTTGAAAGGGTAAGAAGTGTCCCCTTCATGAAGGTTGTGAAGGGAGGACTGAAAAGGGGCCCGGGTGGCGGGGGTGTGGGGTAGGGGGACGTGGGCAAACAATCCCTGCCTTCAAAGTGGTTTCAATTAATCAATTAAGGACAGAAAGCGAGGAATTTGCATATCCCTCGGCCTGTGTGGAAGCAGGAGAGGGAGGGCCGCAGCGTATTGGGCATTTGTTGTGGCTCTGTTGCCGGGGTTCTGGCATAGATGGGAACAAGAGAGGGGGGTTTCCAAAGGGGAAAGAAAAGGGGAAGCAGTTTTCCAACTTGAACTGCGTGCAGGGGATGAAGAAAGAAGACGTCGGTGAGGAAAAGGTGAATGACTTCCTCAGTCACAACTCCATTCAGAGCCACACAAGTTAATTCTGAAGATATTTCTCACCTGCTTTGTGTGTGTGTGTGTGTGTGAGAGAGAGATGTACCCACAAGGGGGAATACCCAAAACCAACAGCATCTTGAAAAAAACAAATGAGTCCCATCTTGTTCACCTTTGCTCTGAGTCAAAAAGTAAAGCGAAAAGGTCAAAAGATTTGCTTACCAAAGGAAAGCTTATTTTAAGTGTATTTGTGAATTGTCATATAAAATGTGTGTTCATCCTTAAGGTACACTGGACCAATGCCACTCCCAGTTGAAGTTCACAGTCAAACATAAGAATAACACTGTGCGTCTTTGAAACAACCAAATGTCTGAGCCTTTCAGTCCCTAGCTTGACGCTAGCGCAAATTGGCCTCAACGAAATCATTCGGGACATTGGGTGAAATTTCAGGACGGACTTAAAATGCCTTCAGATTTGAACTTAATTTGTCATTCTCTAAACTTTTGAATGTCCAACTCCTGAGTGTTTCACTACTTTTTGCACAATTATCTGCTCAATCGCAAAGAGCTGAACGGGTAAATTTATAATGTGAACATTTCCAAATGATGTCCACTTCCATGCCTTTCCAGTCTCTCTGGTGCAACCCGCTGATGACACTGTGACTCTAGAAGACAGGGATTAGTAACTTAAACGATGGAGGGGGCCACAATTTTGCATCACTGTTTGAGGGCGGGCCACATGGGACCACACCTTCCCCAACCAGATGTATGACACATATTTTTTTACATATGGACAAAATTTTTACATATGGACAAAATACGTCTATGCGTGGATAGATAGATAGATAGATAGATAGATAGATAGATAGATAGATAGATAGATAGATAGATAGATAGATAGATAGATAGATAGTATAATAGATAGATAGATAGATAGATAGATAGATAGATAGATAGATAGATAGATAGATAGATAGATAGATAGAATAGATAGATAGATAGATAGATAGATAGATAGATAGATAGATAGATAGATAGTATAAGACCTGCTGAAAGCACAACCAAGCCACGAATGCCATCTAGTGTGAATGGTGATGTTCCAACTTAAAACTATACAGTGGAAATGCGCTATTCGCGGGGGGGAGGGGCCGTGCCAGACCAAGAATAGAAAAGCCCGGCGTACAATTGATGCCCGTTTAATGCATCAGGGGAAAAAATATAGACACACACACACACACACACACACACACACACACACACACACACACACACGGAAAAATGCTTATAAACCTCCAATATACAATTTTTAATACAACTGGAGGTTTGCCCCCTGCCAAAAAAATACAAAAGTAGGAAAGAAAAGAAAAAAAAATGTGCAAAAGTAAGAAAAAAAGAAAAAAATTCCATTTGAAAACATATATTTGAAAAAAAAAAAATCCACCAATAAGTGATGGTTACAAGCTGAGAGTATTCAGGTTATCCGCATAGTTGTAGAAATGTTTAAAACTCCCGCCACAAAAAAAAAAAAAAAAACATGGGGGAAAAAATGTCTTGTATTTATTTATAATTAATCAAGTAGCTACTCAGAGAGTGGTCGCATGCGGGCTGCCAGTTGCCCAGCCCCGCTCTAAGATCCGTGGCCACTTCCCGTTTGAAGCCTCACAGTGATGACATACTGTTGACCAACTGTTAGCCCTCTTCTTCGTCTCATGACATGAAAATTAGGACCTGATGGATTAATCAACCCATATTAGCCTCTTACAAATCAACAAAGATCAGATGATTTTTTTTTGGCTGATTTGTTTCCCCACATTAACACCAGACAAAGATAATGACATTCAAAAAAATGTTGTAATTGACGATTTTTGATGAATTTTCTGGATGTTGTAAAGTTAAACATTTTATTATTATTATTATTATTATATTATATATAAACGTGTATATTATTTTCTCGGAAATGTACCCTATTAGCCCATTCGTGGATCAAACACTTGTGAATTTGGCAGTGGGACATTCAAAAGCAAAATTTTGTTCACTGCTAAGGTATTTACAGATCATCGGAAAATTTTACCCATAAACTTAAAAATCCATAACTTTGTATGAAACGTCAGTTTCTGTGTGCGTGCGTGCGTGCGTGCGTGTGTGTGTGTGTGTGTGTGTGTGTGCGCGTGCGCCTGTGCATGTGTGTTGTGCGTAAAAGAAGGGGATGTAGGTCTGGCCATTCAGGGAACTTGTCGTCATTTCTCTGCAGTCAACCGGTTTCCTGGTAATGTCACAATATTAGTTAGAAGCAGCACGGTTGCACACACGCACACACATTTCTACACATTATGCAGGGCACACTGGAGCCATACAAATACAGATACAGGCCATTTGATTAAGTAAGCACGCACAGAGTTGGACAATATTCGACGCAAATCCCAGTTTGAGTGGCAATATAGTCAACTACAACTGCACAATGTCTCAATCAGAGACTGAATAAATACAGATAGCAATCTATTTGAATAATTAAGGTGGCTGCATTACCCGTTGTCAAATTGCTGAATCTGAATGGAATTGTTTGAAGCCTTTTTGTTGTTTCCTTGGTTTTTTAATTGCTTGCAATAAAAGCCAGAAAACCATTTTGACAGTTTATAGGTCAATATAATGTTAGGGTTGTGATGATTATAACAACACTTGTGAAGGAACAACAGAATATTAACATTTCACCTACATACTGTCATGGCTGGAGTTTAAAAAAATATTGTTGTATATACATAAATACTTGTTCTTTTATTGCTAAATAGTGCACAAAATATTCTGTATGGTTCGCTTATTTGAGCCCATTTATTTATTTTACAAATGTACTGTACTACAAAAAATGAAACAAACAAAATCTCACCGTGTTGCATTTCTTCCCTTTTTTTTTCTTAAATAAAGTGCACAAAATCATCCCGCCAAAATGTAAAAATGATTAAAAGTGGGAAAACAATTCTTGATTAAAAAATAAAATGTATTTTAAAATATATATTTTTAAATGTGAACATCACCATATTAAATCACATTATTTATTCATTCATTCATTGATCCTCCTGGTAGACTATTAAGAAACAACTTTTAACGATTTTTAAAAAAAAAAAAAAAGAAAAAAACATGGATTTTTTTTCTTAAATAAACAAGTATACAAAATTACATCAAATTAATAAGAATGTAATTTAAAATGAAAACATTTGTCAAATGTACCACATCTTTTATTTACTTTTTTCATAAAGTTATTTTGTTTCCATTTCATAACAAAAAAGTTGTATCACGTTAAAATATGACTTTCTCCCCTCATCAAGTGTCAATGTCATATTTAAACTTTATTTTGCAACTTTATTTTCTTTTTTGGCAAAAAAAAAAAAAAAATTTAAGAAATGATGATTCTCATGACATTGAATTCGTTATCGTAAGGGGTTTATTTTCTCGAAAACTTTCCACTTCTTAATCCCTGTGGCATTAAGGGGCAACACTATGCTTAAGGGGGTGGCTTCGAAAAATTCCCTTGCCCCAAACTTTCAAGACTCCCCCCCTCCCCTCGCTCTCGATCATGGTTGGTGTGGCTTGATGTTGTGACCGCACTTTGCTCTACTTATCTGTCGCCTACTTGTTCTCAGGAAGCCCAACTGTGAGAGTCCTGGTGTGCTCAAGAGCAGGAAGTCACCGCGGCAGAAAGTGCCGCACAGACGCAACACATGTCCCAGTCCCCAGGACATCAGTCGGGCCCTCCAGGCCCCCTCGTCAGCCCCCAGCGCCAGCGTGGCCAGCCTGGATGAGCTCATACTGCGCTGCCTTGCCTGCTTTGGTCAGTTGCCCGTGTTTGATCCCAATACGGTTATGTAAAGGAGGGAAGTGGGCTGCATAGAGAGTGGGGGGGGGGGGGGCAAAGGGGGGGCTCAGACAATGGGGCTTTTTCTTCTGCTAAGGGATTCTCAAACTTTTGGAGTCCAGGGATGGCTTACAGGGGAAAATTTTTGCCTCATAATCCTCACTAAATAAAACTTGCAGGTGGTCTCCTAAAAGCAATAGGAATTATAAGGTTGACTATTTTTGAGGGGAAAAAAAAGTACCCTTGTCAGGATAACAAATTTATTGGGGAAAAAGGTGTTATGTTTTGAGGGTAATGTCACATGTTTTTCAGGAAGAAAAAAAGTTACAGCTTTGCGAAGTCAAGTTCAAAGATATTTTGTCTTGTAAGACTGCAACTTTTACATGCAAAAAAAAATTTATATATATATATATATAAGCAGTTCGGCATTAAATTTGGGGGGTGATAACCGATCCTGCATTATTCAGGGAAACAACCATGAATTTGCATTTTTTTTGTTTGTTTTTTATCCTCACTTGTTCCATCCATCCATCCATCCATTCATTTTCGGATCCACTTATCCTCACAAGGGTGTGCTGGAGCCTATCCCAGCCGTCTTCGGGCAGTCGGGCTGAAACGGTTGCCAGACAATCGCAGGGCACACAGAGACGAACAACCATCCGCACTCACACTCACATCTCAGGACAAATTTAGTGTGTTCCATTAACCTCCCACGCATGTTTTTGGAATGTGGGATGAAACCGGAGTACCTGGAGAAAACTTTCAATTTTTCTTTTTAAGTGAATATAATGAGCCTCGCGTACACTGGTCAACACAATTTGGATAAATGTTTAAATCAGAGAGGCAAGTAAACTTTTCTCTTTTTTTTTTTTCGCGCTGATTCCGAAACAGCTCTTCTTTTTTCCTCTAGCTTGTCCGGTTTTCATAAGGATAATAAAAACAATATAATACCATATTGCCCTGAATATAAGACAGTGTTTTTTTGCATTGAAATAAGAAAAAGTGTGGGTTGTCTTATATTCGGGGTCGAGACATTATACCCATTCACGACGCTAGATGGCGCCAGATACCATTGAAGCGAATGCTGAACTTGACTCCCCAGGCCAAAATTAACCCCGTCACGAAGAATAAAAATAAAAACAGCAGTAGCACGAAGAAGAAAAATAAAAAATTGCGGCAAGAAAGAAAAGAAGAAAATAATAGAAGAGATAACAGAAAATGGAGAAACGTAGCGACAATCTGGAGAAAAGTGGGTCGAAGATCGGCCAGGTTAACCGGCAGCTGAGGAGAAGTTATGATGTAATTCATATTTCAAAAACCAGAAGCCATTCATTTACGAATGTGATTGCACTTTAGTTTACATATTCAAATGTTCAGATATTAAGATTTGAATGAGGCAAAATAATATGCTTTTTCTCTCAAATATATTGTAATAATCATTTGTTTCAGATGTACTGTAATTATTTTCTGTATAAAAATTAATTTGGTGTTCAAAAAGTCTTTTTTCAAATTTGAGTCTTGAAAAAGAGGGGGTCGTCTTATAATCAGGGCCGTCTTATATTCGGGCCAATACGGTATATTTCGTAGTATTTATCAATCAGAACCAGAATAGCTTTATTGACAGTGACCCCTCGGGCACAAGGTGCAACAAAGACACAACCCGTCCAAGAGACACAGAAAAACAACGACCAACCGGGGGATACAGAACGGAAGTCCGACGGGTCGCCTATTACAGCTCCCCAAATTCGCAGATGTAAAGAAAACCATAACGGTTGACAACCCCAGACTGAGCTTCTGTAAGGGGAGGACAGTATGGATTTGGGGAGGGAAAAAAAAAAATCAACAAACAGGCATGCATTAGTACGTGACACACGGGGTAGCACATGTGGAGCTGGGGAGTGTCACTGTCAAAATAATTCGACATAATCATCCAAAGTTACAGCTTGTGGTCCCCGGGGAGCTCCAAGGACCCCAGTTTGACAACCACCATGCTGAGCACCCAACTCACCCCTTTAAGCTCTTCAGTTTTCAACATGGTGATCAACTCATAACCAGAAAGATGATTTTGGTTTTTCCCTGCCCACCATGTAAAAACATCGCCGCTTAGGCTGTTATGATTATTTGATTCCGTGCCAGATACATTCAATTACAATTTCCTTGGTGGAAGTAAGGGCCCATCATAACAACGCTAAATCTATGTGTTGCGCTTCTATGTCAGATTCAGAGGGGAAGCTGTGCAGCCCGCGAGGGTCCCAGATGGTCCACATGACGCTGATGATGCACAGTTGGGTGGTCTCGTCTCAGACCTTCGCCCAGAAGCTCCTCGCCTTATATCCTGATGGTCACACGGTGGTGCTGCTTGATGAAATCTCAGTGAAATTCATTTAAGCACAGTTTATAAGCACGTGGTGATGGTATTTTTTCATATAGAAAAATGTGTCTAAGTAGTTAATGGATCACCAGTTCACAGCCAGCTGCGAACCTGAGTTCGCAACAGCCAAATTTTACACTCTCATTTACCGACTCCCACGTCACTCACCAGGCAAGGCCCCGCCTTTTAAAAAAAACACATACATTCAAAGTCACAGATAGTCTAGGTTGAAGGTGTGAATGGTGACCATGAGTGGACCAAAAGAAAAAAACCAAAAGCAAAAAAAATAAATAAATAAACCTACACTGCATAGGCATATTTGGTGTCGGTGTTGTTCGTGAATAATGAAAAATCCGATTACTTGAATAATCATTGGGATAATAGAAGAGGCTTTTTAACCAGTGAAATGACATTAGAATATTCTTTTGAACAGGCTGCATAATACGACCAGACTGTTTTTAACTGGTCTAAGTCCTACGTCACTGGATTTTTTTTTGTCAGCATGGGCGAAGGTAACAAGCTGGATTTTGGTGCTCCCCCATTATGTTTAATTTTTCACGTTGCCATCAGGAAACACAAAAGAAATTTCCAGTTATGGTGATGAGACTCAACTCTACATTTCGGTTTCTCCTGATGAATTTATTATTTAATTGAATTAAAATGTAATCGGGATATCGTATTTTACTTTGCTGAATCCAACCCAAGCATGTAATGTGGGTGCATTTAGTTCCTTGAAAAGGTTTTGCCCCCTCTATATTTCAGTTTTTGTAAAAAATTCATTATATAATATTAAAACATATGTTCATATATATTTATACAATTATATTCATCACTCTTAAATGCGTCAGAGCAAGCAATCATAATAACTCACAAAAACAAGTTTTTGAAAAAAGTTCTGTCATGTTGGAGAGTTTTCAAGCATGAGTTGGCAGTTAAAGGTCGTACGACAGGTCGTCCAGGCTCTGAAGTGGTATGGCAGCCCCAGACCATGAGACCACCACCACAAGCTATTGTTGTGATGTTCCTTCTGTCATATGCTTTGTTAATTCTACTTAGAAATGTAAAGAGATGCACCTTCGAAAAAGTTCAACCTTTTTCTCGTCAGTCCACAGAATATTTCTCCACAAGTCTCCGAGATCATTGAGACGAGCATTCAGGTTCTTTTATTTTTGCATTGGTTTTCACCTTGGCTTCAAAATAACTTTGTAACCTTCTCCAGATGCTTTTTTCCCCCCCTCATTTGTTCCTGAATTTCTTTACACCATGGTATGATGCATTTATTTTTGAAATTTTGAAGCTTCATTCACTTCGTCTGACAAGTCATTTCTTGACTCAACAAATATGCCAGTAATTTGGCCAAGGCGTGGCCGGGGGAATTGAACTCATCTTTCCAAACACTGTGGTTCATCGCAGTTCACTTCACTTGTGATTTCATGAAAGCAGGGCATTTCATTTTTCAAGTTATGCCAAGTAGGGTAAAAATCATCATTTGGAACCTGCATCTTGTATACTTGGGTTGTCTTGGTGAGATGTCAAAATCATCAAGTGTGATAAATATTCCCTCAAAAATCAGGATGGAATGTTCTCTCCTTGACTGTCTCTCACGTACAAGGACTGCCCCCCTGACAAGAGAGGCCTGAGGCGGGGTCAAGTCTGTCACCTGGTCAGGTGAGCAAGAACGACTCCAGTCCTGACAGAACCGGTTCTCTCTCCCGCCCTGTTTTGTGCTTCCTAAACACGCTTTCCTGTCGCGCCGCGACGGCCAGGACCTGGATCGGCCAGTTCCCCGCCGTGTTCGAGGCCGACCCCCTTCTAGAGCAGACCATGGGGGACCTATGGGCGTTGGTGCGCTCGGATAGGGAGGAGGCACAGATCATCGACACGTCCTGCCTGTGAGATTTATTTGTTTATTTATTTTGACTACACTCTCTCTCTCTGCACGGGCCTGTCTTTAAACATTCACGTCTTGACTTGCACTTTCGGTGTGGAATGGACACATTCTCAATACGATAGTGGAAGTTTTCCCCATGTCAATGTTTACCGTCAAATGTACACCCGTTTTGATTATAATACATTTACAACAACGTCTCCAGCATTGAGCCGAGTCGAAAAATCTAACAAAACTGTCGCATTCTGTCGGGCATATGTCGTGAAATAATTAGGATCTTTACTCACAAATTTACTTGCCCATATTGTGCAATTGCTTTGTCTGTTGTATGAAAAGCAAAGGTAGCGTATTTGTCATTTAAAAAAAAAAAAGTTGCAAAATGTTTACAATAGCACATGTTGGGCTCAAGATTAGTAATTGTCTTCACCGTGTGGTGTACTGTACATAAAGCGCTATGTAAGTGCAGTCCTTTTACCATTTCAATATACCAAAAAAAGCACACAAAAAAAAAAACAACAACAAAAGACTGCCCTAAATCACTGGTGCTCCCTTTAATAGCCATCACTGCTAATCGGTGCTCACTTCTTTCATACAGACAAATTCACTGGTCCAGGTTCATCTTGAAACCACTGATTGGCAAGACCCCACCCAATGCTCACCACACACACTCTCTCTCCCAGGGGTTTTGCAAAGCTCTTCATTGGCAAAGTCCGCACAACTTTGGCTTCATCGTCTTTTCAATTTTCTGCCCAATGAGAAGCTGTTATCAGTTGTCTTACCTGGATAAATAAAAGTGAAATAAATAAATGGAAAAACCTCCATGATTCACTTTAGACTAAATAGTAGTGTTTGAGATTGTACATTTTGATGATTTGCTTATAATTCTTAATTGTAATTGTGTGTGCATAAGTGGGCTTCATTGAAAACTCTAAATCACAGGTGTCAAAGTCAAGACCCGGGGGCCATATCTGGCCCACCAAGTCATCTGATGTGGCCCTCCAAAAGAAAATCATGTGTGTCAACTTGCATGATCCTTGCTAAAATCTGTACCAAAATGTCAAATTGTCATGTATAATAAATAGAGCTGTCAAATGATTCAAATATTTAATCTAATTAAAAATGCAACTGTCATAATTAACTCAAATTCACTAAAAATTAATCGTGATTACTCACGCATTTTTTTATCGTTTCTGATTGTCCTTTTATATTTTTTTTGTCCTATTTTTCCCCCATTTTAATGCTCTCGTCAACATGGAATCATGAATCAGTTTTCTATGTGCAAAATGCAAATATTTACTGAAATAATTTCTATTTTCAATTTTACATGAACATTTTTCACTTGGAGCAGTTATTCACACAATCTCTCACACAATATTACTGTCCATCAACAACAGTGAAAAAAATATTTTGTCACACAACAGCTGCTTTAACAGCTCTTTTTATGGAATCAAAACAGAGCAATATAACATTATAAAGTGCCCATCTAAGCTAAACTAGTACTCAGCCTATAGTGGATTTAAGCCATGGTTGCATACTTCGTTTTTCTCAAGTTTGCTTTGAACACAGCAGTCAGGCTATGTTGATTCTGTTGGTCCTTCTTGCTCGGAAGTCTCTCTACGGTTTTGTGTAGACATCATTTCGGATGACTACACTTGGTTAGATGACAACATTGGAGACGTTTTATTTTCAGT